AGGAGAGCCCAGCCCACTGTGGGTGGCACCATTCCCTGGGTAGGTTGTCCTGGGCTGTATAAGAAAGCCAGACAAGCATGAACCTGTTGGAGATACAGCAAGGAGCATCCCTGGTGATTCCTATTGTACTTCCTTGGCTGAGAGTGAGTTCTCTGGTCAGAGGTGATGCTGCATGGAATTACAAGCAGTCCTGCTTTCAGGTTTCTGCTTAAGTTCCTGCCTTGGCTTGCCTCAGTGACAGCCTAGGAATAGGAAGTATAAGTCAAATGAATTCTCTCTCCCCTAAGTTGCTTTTGGTCAGAGTGATTTCTTACTGCAACAGAATGAAACTAGCACAAATTGGGACACACGCATGCATGTGCGCACACACACATATTTCAAGATGATAAAAAATAATTATCTTTTTAAATGTGACTGAGATGGCAAGACAGCTAAGCAAGGGAAGGTCCTTGTTACACAAGCCAGTGGCCTGAGTGCAACCCTGGAGCTCGTATGCAGGTAGAAGAACAGAACCAGCTCCACACCGCTGCCTTCTGGCCTCCCCACACGTGTGCCATGGCACGCACGTGCACACACACACACACACACACACACACACACACATACACACCTCTCTTCTCTTCCACAACAATGGGAGATAAAATGTCTTTTAAATACTTCAAGAATGAGCAAGGTTAGCAGACACAAGAGGCAAACTCTGAGACAGAAAAATATTATTAGTGGGCACCAGGGGCTGGGGCAGGGGAAAATGAAAGTCTTTAGAACAGTGGTTCTCAACCTTCCTAACGCTGCGACTCTTTGATACACTGCGGTGACCATGCCCCCCCACACCAGCTATAAAATGATTTTCATGACTTTCATAACTACTTCGTAAGTGTAATTTGTTAGTGTTAAGAATCACAATGTAAATATCTGATATTTCCGAAGGTCTTAGGCGACCCCTGAGAAAGGGTCGTTCTACCACCCCAGAAGGGTTGCGACCCCCAGGTTGAGAACCACTGCTTTGGAGGACTTGGGATTTATTGTTGACATGATCGAACATTCCTAGGACACTTTGGGTGTGCTTAAGACCACTGACCTGAACATTGTTCAAATGTTTCCAATGGTACCTTTCTGTTATGTGTGCTTCTGGAACTTCCTGTGTTGGCATAAGACCCCTCAGCAAACCCTGCTGAGGCCTGCTCTATTACACCAGCTTCAAGACAAGCCAGGGAACTTACATTTTTCCAGGCTCCCAGGTGACTCGGACTCTGAGGATGCCTGGCTTGGAGGCAGCCCCCGTTGTTCTGTTTTCTAATTGGAACACGCCATATGCGCTGTTCGCTCAGTCCCAGCTGCCACAGCCCACACGTTCCCAGGGAGCAGCAGGTCCCTTATCTCAGCAGCTGTCGGCAGGGAGTGATGTCAGTAATCAAATTGGGGGGTGGGGAGTGGCTGATGGCAGCAACAGTAATAGAACCCTGATTTGGGCATGACAGTTGTCACCCACCACTTACCTGAAATTTTGCATTCTACAGTTTGGGTTACCTTCAGTCAATTATAGTGCAAATATTTTAAAAATTAAGTAGAAACTTCCAAAAACAAATAGTCTGTATATTTTAAAGATTTGTTTTGTTCTGTGACCATACTCACATAGACACAGACAAACACACACACACACAAACACAGATGCACGTGCACACAACTCCTCAGGCTGTAACTTAGACCTTCCAGTGACAGCCATGCAAATTCACCCTCTAGAACACTCTCAAGCTCAGACCAATTCTTTATGCACCCAAAGGTTGCGAGATCAGAGGTTTGATTATTCTCAGCCCGCAGCCCTAACGACCTGAGGGTGGAGAGGTGAGGTTGTATGCAGTGTGGATCCATGAACTCCATTCAGTCCCTGGCCGAATGGCCATCTCCCAAGCCCATGTGGCCATGGGCTACTTGCATTGCTTTTGAAAGTAGGTGGAGCGAGACTCCCTGGTTAGCCCTTGTTCCTGAACAGGGTCTTGAGACAAGGGAATACCAAGGGAGTATTCCGTAATACTGAGGAGCATTAGGAGTCTGGATAGAATTCCGTAATAACAACCTCCCCTGTTAGTTTGAACCCTTCTTATTTCCAGTTTACACTAAGCCTGGATGGCAGTTGTTGCTTTTATTGCTAAGAAGCAGATGCTCCCCCCTTTGCTCGTCCCTTCTGATTATGGGTGGCATCTGCTTCCTCATCCCCCTCCCCAACTCCCCCAAATACTGTTTATCAAAACCCTCAGCCACATAAGGATTCCCAAATGGCACCTGGCCAATTTAGTATTGGATTTCCTCTAGTCCTGGAAGGTAAACATTTATCTCTGCAGAAATAGGTTTTTGTTTTCTTATTTGAGTTTGTCTTGAGGAAGAAAAAAAAACTTACATCAAGTGTTAGTCTTTCTTAATTTATTTTTTTTCCAGTGTTGGGAGTGGAAGTGCTCTCCCACTGAGCAGCACCCCTGATCCTTTTTATTTGTGTGTGTGTGTGTGTGTGTGTGTGTATTATATGCATGCATATGCACACATATACTCCTGTGTAGGCATGTATTGAGGTCAAGGGTTGATGCTGGGTGTTTTCTTCCTTAATCTCTCTCCACTTTAATCCCTTGAAACAAGGTCTCTCACTAAACCTGGTGCTAGACTGGCCATCAAGGAATCTTCTAGTGTCCACCCTCCCCCACCTACTATTGGGATTACAGGCTCATGCCACCATGCCTGGCTTTCTAATAGGTTCTGGGGAGCCAATCTCAAGTCCTCACGCTTGTGCAGCAAGTGATTTAGCACGAGCCATCTCCCCAGGCCCATTTCTTTCTCAGAAGCTATTTTCAAATGAATAGTATTTAATCCATTGCCACGGGCAGGGTTTCCTCTAGGCCACCTTATTAACTGCTTTCTAGTAGGCTTATCATTCTTTGCCCAGGTGAAAGAGTTCACCTGCCCTGCAGTGATAAATTTCTCTGTGTGTCAATGCATGGTGGAATAAGTGTGTGCACGCCCCCACTACCCCCTGCCTATCTTTACCCTGTCTCCCTTAATTCTCCCAATCCAAATAGCTCCTTTCTGTGGCTCGCGGAAGCACTTTCATCTGTGGCCATTTTTTTTTTGACATCTCTGACACGGCTTCCTCAGGCTATCTGCCCAGTTCTGAAACCCCCATTCAGATCCCTTTAAACTCTGGAGGAAAAGAAGAGAAGTAAGAATCATTGTGAGAGGCTAAGAGATGGCTCACAGATAGCAGAGCTTTGCCAGCCAGTGTGACATTTGAGCTCCCTCCTCAGACCCATACGCTGGGAAGAAAGAACTCCTTCCTGCAAGTTGCCCTCCGACTTCTGCATACACACCGTGGCCCATACTGGAATGCGGAAGGGTTAGTTAGCATTTAAACAGATGATTTTGGTGTTGGGATGGGGGGACCATGCACAGACTTTCTCCTCCTCCCGTCATCCCAGCCCTTGACTGACAGGAATTTCCATAACACTCTGTCTTTTCTTTCTCACTTCTCCCTGTTCATCAGAACACCCCATCCTCGCTTCTTCCAGATGCCAAATAGCTGTATCCTTAAGGAACAAAACCCACGATACAGAGAGGCCAGCATGAAAACACATGCCTTTAAATTGGCAAAAGCTGCCGAGTATCCTTAAGGTGCACGAGATCTATACAGTTTCTGCGAAAGGAACTGTTAGAGCGCTATACAGCAAAGCCACATTGAAGAGCAGTGTACAGTGGTGCATGCCTCTGGCCTACCGCTGAAGGGGCAGAGGCAGGAGGATCCCCGCATCTAGTTGAATCAGCAAGATCCGGGTTCAGCGAGAAATTCTGTTTTAAACAAGCAAGCAAGCAAGCAAACAGAAAGCACAAGGTGGTGGCACACACCTTTAATCTCAGCACTAGGGAGGCAGAGACTGGCTTCTTGCCAAAGAGGATGTTGCATTCTCCACGGAACACCTTTTTCTTCCACTTCCTTTACTCCCTGTATTAGTTACTTTTCTAGCATCAATGGCAAGATACCTGATAAAAAGCGATGAGAGCAAGGAAGGGTTTATTGTGTCTCATGGTTTGAGGGTGCACAGTCCATCCTTAGGAGAACGGCATGGGAGAGTGAGGCAACTGGTCCCATTGCACCTGCAGGCAGGAAGCAGAGAGGGATGAAGGCTGGTACTCAGCTCACCTTCTTGTTTTCATTCAGTCCAGGATCCCAGCCCATATGTGATGCCATCCACGTCTAGTATGGGGCTTCCCGCTTCCGCCAACCTAAGAGGTTACCTCACAGATGTGCCCAGATGTATGTCTTCCTAGATGAGTCTAGATTCTGCCAAATTGACAGTCAGTGTTAACCGGTTACTGAGTCACAACACAGCCATCTTAGATGAGGATGTGGAGATGTATTCCAGCTTTCTAACTGCCAGAGAGTTAAAATTCTTCATATGCCAACTTTTTTTTTGCAATCAAGAAACTTTCTAGGGCTGGAGAGATGGCTCAGAGGTTAAGAGCATTGCCTGCTCTTCCAAAGGTCCTGAGTTCAATTCCCAGCAACCACATGGTGGCTCACAACCATCTGTAATGGAGTCTGGTGCCCTCTTCTGGCCTGCAGGCATACAGACAGAATATTGTATACATAATAAATAAATGTTAAAAAAAAAGAAAACATTTAAAAAAAAGAAACTTTCTAAAGGTGTATAAATATCCTGATGTTTTATAATATCTATTTTCAATGCTTTTAAGCTATGCATATTTATATATTTGCGTGTGAATATGTACACATGTATGCAGATGTCTATGGAGGCCAAAAAAGAGCATCGGGTTCCCTGAAGCCGGAGTTTCAGGTGGTTTTGAGCAGCCAGTGTGGGTGCTAGGACCTGAACTCTGGCAGTTTCCTTGAGGTGTTAGGACTCTGAACTGCTGACTATCTACACAGCCCTATCACAGTGTTTGGGATGCAGGTCTAAGGTGATTTATTCATGCATGTCTTGCATTTTTGTCATTTATAGAGGAGCTGAAGGCCCCCTTGGAAGAGTATGTCCACAAACGCTACCCTGGGCTGGTGAAGGTGGTACGCAATCAAAAGAGAGAAGGCCTGATCCGAGCACGCATCGAGGGCTGGAAGGTGGCCACTGGACAGGTCACTGGCTTTTTCGATGCCCATGTGGAATTCACTGCTGGATGGTAGGTCGTGAGCCAAAACGTATTACATAGCAAGAGCTGAATCTGGGAGGTGGAGCATTTCACCTGTTTCTTCTGGAGCCACTGGAAGAAAGGGGAAGGGATGCTTGGTGAGAAGGCCATTGGGATGAAGTTCAAAAGCAAGAAAATGAATCATGGGCTGGCTTTCTAGACACTGTTATTGTTATCATCAGTCTGTGAGTCACTTTGCTCATCACTGTGACCAAACATACCTGGCTAAAGCAACTTACAAAAGAAAGAAACTTTAGCTCAAGTTTGAGGGTGTGGTCCATCATGATGGGGAAGCCACAGCAGCAGAAGTGAGAGGCAGCCACAGTCAGGGAGCAGAGAGAGATGGACATTGGTGCTCAGCTCACTTTCTTGTTTTTATTTAATCTAGGGCCCCAGCTCATAAGATCATGCCATCTATATTCAGGATGGGTCTCCCCACTTCAGTTAACCCAAGTTAGAAGCTGCTTCACGGGCATGCCCTCCCAGACATCTGTTTTGATTCTAGATCCTGTCAAGGTGACAGTTAGGATTAACCATCATAATTATTGTGGTGGTTAGTAAATTCAAAGCCAGTCTGGTACACGAGTCCCTGTCTCAAAAATAAGTCATTTCTCTAAAACAGTAGCAACAGATAGGGACTGGAGAAATGACTTGGTGGCTAAGAGTACTAACTTCTCTGGCAAAGGACCCAACTGTGTCTGGGTTACGTATGGGGTAGAGGGATACATGCTATGTATGCGTGTACAGGTGTATGTGTGCATGTGTGTTGAGGTCAGAGATAACATCGGGTGTCATTCTCCAGGTGTCTTCCACCCTAGTTTTCAAAGCAGGGTTTCTCATTGCCATAAATCTCACCTCGTAGGCTAAATGACTTTCCAGTGAGTCTCAGGGATCCTCCTATCTCTGCCTTCCCCAGGATTACAAGTGTGTCCACCATGTCTGGCTTTTTTACAAAAATTCTGAGGATTGAACTAGGGTCCTCATGCTTACATAGAAATTACTTCACTAATTAACCTATTCCCCATCCCTTCTCCCGACTAGAGACTGGCCTCTACCCCCTGCCCGTCAACCAGTCACCTCCCCTCCATCACTTTCCCTCCTAACCACTTCTCCCATCTCACACCCACTCTGCTGAGACGGTCCCCTCTCTACTTTGGGGCGGTGCGTTCTTATTCACCCTCAGGAATGCAATGGATCTCTGAATTCATTCTTTGGTGCATTTGGCTATGTAATCCCTAACTGGCCTAGAATTCAATATGTAGCCCAGGCTAGCCTTGCATTTACAGTGAGTCTCCTGCCTCCATCTCCTGAGAGCTGGGGTGACAGGGTGCACCACCTCACCTAGCCACTTACTGGATCTGTGACACTGGTCTAGGCTGGGGACGTGCCTGGTTCAGATGGCTCCTCTCTCGGAATTTCCCATTGTCACACTGAAACAGTCCCGTCAGTCAACACAATGGGCATTCCAGACTGGCAATATTTGGCATCTTCCCTGAAAGGTATCATCTAACTTGGGCCAGCAGAGTCTAATTCCTCTGTGGTCTAATTCTAACAGGGCTCTGATGTCAGCCTTTGCCATGCCGACTTCCTTTCTACACTTCAGCCAAAGGATCCCATGTCCCTTTCTGAATGAAAACCCTTGTGTGTTTTCTCATTAGAGACAGTGTGTCTCACCATTTACTGGGTGAAAAAAACCTCCACAGTGGCCCAGGACACTAAAGATGCCTCTATTCTCCCTGTGGCATTTGAACTGGGTGTTTCTGTGGCTCTGTTTGAATGTCTTCCATGTCCTGGGATCCAGGGAGACCTTCAGCCTGGGTCTGAAGAGAGAGAGGGAGAGCTGTCAGTAAGGTGTGTGAGCAGCTGAGTTAGCACCTTAGAACCTAGGTGAAAAAGCCAGGCTGGTCGTGCACACTGCCCTGGGGAAGCTGGGAAAGGAGCTAGCCTAGCCTGGTTATGAGGCCTCCGTTATGAGGCCCAGGAGAGATGGGGATGGAAGAACTACAGTTGAGGATGTTGCCTGGCACTCAAGAACATTTACATGTGTGTGCACATGCCTTCTGTGCCGGTTAATTTTTATCAACTTGACACAAACTAGAGTCACCTGGGGAGAAGGAACTTCAGTTGAGGAGTTGCCTCCGTCAGATTGGCCTACGGGTATGTCTGTAGGGCCATCCCTGGACAGGTGATGCCCAGGATAGAAGTAGATTATAGGCCATAGAAGAAGGTAGCTAAGCAAGCCAGGGGAAGCAAGCCAGTAGCACATAGCCCATGATAATTTGGCTCTGGGCCGTCAACATTCCAACTCTCCACAATCACATGCCACGGAGCATGTGTGGAGATCCAACAACACCTCGCAGGAACTGGTTCTCTCCTCCCGCTATCTAGGCCCCAGAGATGGAACTCAGATTGTTAGCCCTGGTGGCAAGCGTCTTTACCCACTGAGCCCCCTCACCAGCGTAATCATGAAAGTTCTAGACAACCGGTCAGACTTATAGAGTCTCTGACCCACGTGAGAGCTTCAGTCCACCCTTGAGATGGCTATCCAACTTTCTCCTCAGCCCTGGCACTGTTACTTATGTCCACATCTCTTTGGCAGAGCAGCTCACATGTGGAAGCCCCCCCCCCAATTAGGGGGATCGAGATTTGTCAGGTGAGTAGAGGATGCACAGTAGGGTCCCAAGACACTCCAGGATGGAGTTGGGGATCAGGAAATGAGAAAGGACCTGGGCTGTAGAAACGCTGTTTGAAGGGGATGGGGGATGGGTCCCCTGAGAGAGTGCTTGCTGTGTAAGCATGAGGGTGTGCATCCAGATCCTCAGCACTGATGTCACTGAAGGAAAAAAATGGGCCAGGGATAGCCCTGTGTGTGCCTATAACCCCTATGTTGTCATGGGTGGAGACAAGAGGTTCGCTGAGGCTCACTGGCTGCCAGGCTAGCTCTAGGCTCACTGGCAGACTCTGTTCTGAGTTACTAAGGTGGAAAATTATGGAGCAGGACACCTGACGTCCTCCTCTAGTCTCCACTTTGATGCACAGGTAGGCACATCTGCATACACACGTGCACACGCACCACACACAGAGAGAAAGAGTAAAATGTATTGTCTTTTTATGTGTGGAAATATCACAATGAAACCCATTACTTTGAAGGCTCACTTAAAATATTAATTTTGTTTTTCAATTGTAAAGAGCAAAAGAGGGACTGGGGAAATGTTTGGTCAGTTGGGGTCTTGTGAAGCAAGCATGAAAATCTGAGTTCTGATTTCCAGCACCCACAAAAAAAGCTGGGTACAGTGGTGAGCACCCATAATCCCCACCCTAGGGAGGCAGAAATAGGAAGATCTCTGCGGTTCACTGGTCATCCAGCCTAGTGGGATCCATGAACTCTGAGTTGAATGAGAAATCCTGTCTCAATAAATAAATAAATAAGTAGATAGATAAATAAATAAATAAATAAATAAATAAATAAGATGGAGTGCCCAGACTGGAAAGATGGCTTGATGGTTAAAAGCGCTTGCTGCTCTCCCAGAGGACCTGAGTTCAGCTCCCAGCACAAACATCAGGCAGCTCACAACCAACTTCCTCTAAGGCCAGCTTCTGGAGAACGCAGTCCCACACGGAGACAATACACAAACATACATAAACAAAAATACCTTTTAAAAAAAAACAGTAAGAAGAAGGTGGATCAGGATCAAGAATGACACCTGACAGTGACCTCTGGCTTCTGCGTGTGAGCACACCCGTGTGTACTCGTACACATATGCTCTCCTGCACACATGACTACATACACACAAAAAACACCGCACACATGCAATACCAAATTTAAAAAATTAAGAAGTAAAAATGTTTTTTAAAAGTGCAGAAAGTGAGCTTCCTTACTTAGAAAAAGGAGGCATGGTTTCTCCAGACAGGTGACATTGGCGCTAAGCTCCTGGTGGCTCTGCTTTCTGCTGACTGCCAAGAGCAGAACCCCCCCCCCACACACACACACACGCACACACAAAGAGAGACTCTCTCCAGTGACGACATGAGGGAGAAAGCTGTAGAAGCTGAGGGGAATAATTTCCCTCTGGCTTCCACCTCCACCATGTGTGTAAAAAGTATCGGAGGCAGTCAAAGGCCCAGGGTATATTTTATTGCTCATTTTAAATAGAAAGATGAGCTGAGCCAACAGGTAATTCAATAGCTGCAAATGAAAAGAGATTGTTGCCGGCTGTAAGTTCTCATTATTCTTCCAAAGAGCACAAAGAAATGGGATTTTTCCACTTGACTCTTTTCCAAAGCCTATGCTCTGGTCCAAGCTGCAAGATTAATGTCTCGGCTTCCAGGAGCCATCTTTAGCTTCTAGGATGCTGAAAGTGATTCCTTCCTGTGATCAGCCTCACAGACACACAGTGGCTTGACCATCTGCTCTGGGTTAAGCCAGCCAGCTAACACCTTGAAACCCGAGCCTGTTCAAGCCAGGCTGCAGCCTTGCTGGAGGAGGCACAGCTGGGAGTCGAGATTTGCCTGACTCTGGGTTTAATTAGTTCCAAGCCTTCTGCTGCAGACCAATCAGATCCTTTTAAGCAATCAATTAGATAATCAATTAAAACAACAAAAATAGTCGAGCCCACACAAAGAAACTAATGAAGCTGCTTATTAAATCCAGCACGGGAATGACCTATTTGAGGATAGGAAATTTAGTACCAGCAGAAAGAAAAAGAAAAACGAAAAAGACATCAGCAAGAAGTGGCAGACTGTGCTCTGAGGAGGAAACCGTATAGAACTGCCGGTCATGCAGAGATGGGAACTGTTTATGATGAAAAAATAAATAATGTATTAAAACAGCTAGGGGCTGGAGAGATGGCACAGCACTTACAGCTCTGATAGAGGACCTGAGTTTGGTTCCCAGGATGCACACCAGGGGGCTAACAACCACCTGGAGCTCCCTCTTCTGCCCTCCAAGGGCGCTGAAGTCACATGCACACATCCACAAAATACTCCGGCCAGGCTTCTCCTGTCCACACAGGCATCATGATAGTGATTTTGTTATGAGAGAGTACTGCACACTTGAAAACACGTCCAAAAGAACATCCTCATTGTCTCAGTGTGTGGGTGCACCCCTCGTGGTCCTGAGTTCCTTGCTTGTGCTCTCTCTCCTTCTGTTCCTGATTTGGACCTTGGGGTTGTAGAGAAGTCAAGAACAATGGCAATGGGTTTTGATCCTACTGCACATACTGGCTTTGTGGGCGCCTAGGCTGTTTGGATGTTCACCTTACTAGACCTGGAAGGAGGTGGGAGGTCCTTGGACTTCCCACAGGGCAGGGAACCTAGTCTGCCCTTCAGGCTGATGAGAGAGGGGGAGTTGACTGGGGGAGGGGGAGGGATATGGGAGGCGGTGGCGGGGAAGAGACAGAAATCTTTAATAAATAAATAAAATTTAAAAAAAAAGAAAACACGTCCAGAGTGCTCATGAATATGGATCCGTTGGTGGAGGGCTTTCCTAATGTGCGCTAAGTCCTAGGTTCCATCCCGAGCACCATATAAACCAGGCATTTTAAATGACAGGCCGAGGCATGCTTCTAATTCCAACAGTAGGTAGAGGCAGGCAGATTGGCAGTTCTAAGCCAGCCTGGGCTACATGGGAGTTCAGGGCCAGCCTGGGCAACTTAACAGAACAGTCTTCAAATAAAACCCCCATCAAGCTAGGGATGTAGTTTGATTGGTAGACTGCTTGTCTAACATGCAGGAGACCCAGGGCATGATCGCCAGGCTTACACAGAAGGGCTGTGGTGGCGCGTTCTTGCTGTTGTGGCACCAAGAGAGTCGAGGCAGGAGGACCAGGAACTCAGGTTCCTCCTCTTCTACACAGCTTTTGAGGCCAGGCTGGGGCACATGAAAGTCTGTCTCAAAACAAACTGGAGAAATCAAACCTAGAAACCTTCTGGCCGTCGCTACTCAAAACTCTCGTCAGTCACATGCTTTGCGTACCTCGGTTTCTCTCCCAGTCCCAACCTTCGGTTTGTCTTCATTTGGGGCAGTTTTAGAAGCCTGCTGGCTGACGCGTGCCCACAGGGGACAGAGTTTGATGGTGCCTTCTCTGCTTTTGCAGGGCGGAGCCTGTCCTGTCCCGCATCCAGGAAAACCGGAAGCGGGTCATCCTCCCCTCCATCGACAACATCAAGCAGGACAACTTCGAAGTGCAGCGCTACGAGAACTCCGCCCACGGGTACAGCTGGGAGCTGTGGTGCATGTACATCAGCCCCCCGAAAGACTGGTGGGACGCCGGCGACCCTTCTCTCCCCATCAGGTCTGTGGCAAGTAAGCTCTGGCGGGGCTGGGAAAGATCTGCGGAACAGTGAGACCCCAGGCTCAAGGGTCAGCTTGAGCCACGGAGCAGGGCTGGGAGAGGCTGGCAAAGACTGGTGCGGCGCTGTGAAAGCAGCTCCCCGAGGAGTGATGGTGCCTTAGGACCATCATTCCTGGCTGAGGGAGACAATTGCAGTTTATTGCAGCAGCTACACGTCTTAGGCGCCGCTTTCATATGGCTGCAATGAAAGTTTAAAATTGGTAATAATCCAGTTTTTCATCCTTCCTCGGGTGTTACATGGCTTCACAGTCTATGATTTTACCTACCCTTGGTTAACCTTTGTGAAAACACTAAATTATCTCAACGTCTCGGCTCAGCATCGGCAATAAAATCGCATCTGCGAAGGTTTTTCCTATAGTGTCGCATTGACAGGTAATAGAGATCGGGGTATGGCATGGGGGAGGGGGCAGCATCGTTCTACCTAGCGGCACTCGTGTGGAGGTCAGGGGACAGCTTTGCGGAGTTGGCGCTCCCGTTTCACCTGTGTCCGGATTCTGGGATCAAAGGTGGGGTGGGTGACAGGCTTGCATGGGAAGCACCATTATTTGCTGAACCATCTTGTCAGTCCCAAGCTGACACACACACACACACACACACACACACACACACACACACACGTCAGAGGATGTTCACCATCTTTCCTCAGGCATCTTCATTTGAAACTGTTTCTTATTAGCATGGAACTCTGCCACGATGCCAGGCTAGCTGGCTAGTGAGCTTCCAGAGAACTCCTGTATGTGTCTCGCATCTCATCGTTACTGCGATTACAACGGTGGTGCCTGGCTTTTATGTGGGCTCCTGGGATCAAACTGGGGTCATCGCTTTTGTGAGACAATCACTTTACCAACTGAGCCATCTTCCCAGTCCCCAACTCTTTTTTTTATTTGTTTGTTTGTTTTGTTTTGTTTTGTTTTTCAAGACAGGGTTTCTCTGTGTAACAGTCCTGGCTGTCCTGGAACTCCCTTTGTAGACCAGGCTGGCCTCAGACTCGCTGAGATCTGTCTGCCTCTGCTTCCCAAGTGCTGGGATTAAAGGAATACACCACCACTGCCCAGAAGTCCAGTCCCCAACTCTTAAAATAGGATTAATTCTGTCTTCAGTCGTTAGAGGTGGGAAGGGCATCTTCTCCAAGTCTGACTTTAGTGAAAGTTTTTTTCATATCAAGCAGGAAAGCAAGGTGGGTGTAGGCTCTGTCTTGGTTTGCAAATCTGTGATAAACAAAATATGTTAGTTTTTTAAAATTCCCATGACAAGTATCTGAGAAAAAGCAATTTAAGGAAAACAAGATGTACTTTTTTTGGAGACAGGGTCTCACTATGTAGTTCTGGTTGTTCTGAGACTCACTATGTAGAACAGGCTGACCTCGAACTCACAGAGACCCTTCTGCTTCTGCTGCCCAAATGTCAGGATTAAAGGTGTGTGCCACCACACATGCCTGGAAAACAAGATTGGTTTTAACTCAGCATTTCAGAGGCAAGTCTATTGTGGCAGGAGCAGCTCACAGCCTAGAGGCAGGAAAGAGGAAGAGAGAAATTGTCTGTTCCAGCTGCCTTTCTCTTCCCAGCCCCTTTTATTCCAGCAGGTACCCAGCTTTGTGACACGGGGCTGCTCACATTTAGGGTGGCTCTTCCCTCTTTATCACTTCTGTCTGGAATGCCTTCACAGACACACCCAGAGATGTGCTTTAATCATCTCCCAGATGTCTCTCAAGCCAATCAAGTCAACGCCAAAATTAACAACCTATCCTAGCTAGCTTTAACTGTTAGCTTGACACAGCCTGGAGTCACCTGGGGAAAGAGTATTGGTTGAGAGATGGCTTAGATCAGGTTGGCCTATGGACACTTTGGTGGGAGATTGTCTTGATTGTTCATTTGTGTAGTAGGGCCCTGTCCACTGTGGACGGCACCATTCCCTGAGCAAGTGGTCCTGAACTGTGTTAGTAAGCTAACCAAGAATTGGCCTATAAGCAAGCCAGTAAACAGCATTCCCTAAGGGTTCTACTTCCAGTACCTTCTTGAGCCTCTGCCCTCAGTGATAGGCTGAGACCTGGAAGTGTAAGCCAAACAAACCCTTTCCTTCACTAAGTTGCTTTTTGTTTGGAATATTTTATCACAGCCACAAAAGGAAAACAGGAGCATCATCACACCGGAGAAAGGGTTTGAGAAGTCTTTTTGATTTTCTGTCTCAAACCAAAAGCTGAAAAGTTGCCTGAGAGTGGTACAATCAATGAGCAGGTTCAAAAACCACGGAAGGTGGACTTTGAGGGCCATCTCAAAGGAAGCTGTGTCGTAGCCCAGTTCAGCTCTTTCTGCAGTGTTCCAGAATGATCCCCCAGCTGTCTGTAAGTCATAGTGTAGACTCATCACTGAGAAGGCATTACCTGAGAGCCAAGGTAGAACCCGCAAAGATATTTAAACTTTAACAGAGAGTATGTGAAGACCCAATGACCTTCAGAACTTAAAGACATTAAGTTTCATATTTTAGTAAAATGATCCTTCCTCCCTCGTGTTCTTCAGACACAGGGAGAGGCTGGTCCCCAGCTATGACTGAAAGAATGAGGTGATAACGGGGGGGGGGGGGGGGGTTGGTCACAGTGAGGAACTTTGATGGCCTAGTACCTTTGTGTGTGTGTGTGTGTGTGTGTGTGTGTGTGTAATAGTGGCAATAGAACAAGGGCTTAAACAAAAGTTCTGCTGCTAGCTCTTCACTGGGGTATTCCAGGCACGTATTCTTCCTCTCAACCATGCCCCCAGCCCCTCACTTTAATATTCTAGGTAAATGCTTCTCCTGAGTCATGCCCTCAGCCCCTCAATGGGGAATTCTCATAAGAACTCTACTGTTAATCCATATACCTCCAGATATTCACTGGAGGTTTCTAGGCAGGTGTTCTTACACTGAGGTGTTTTTGCTTTCGCCCCTCAACAGACACTAGCTCTGCCATCATTCCCTCACAGAAGGATTCTCATCAAAAGAGCTACCGCTGAGCTACACTCTTAGCTAAGGTGAATTGGCTGGTGGACATGGGCCCGTCTGCACAGGAAGGCTTTGTGTGAAACAGGACATGGCATCCCTCAAGTTGCTGCCACATTACCAAATGATTAATATGCGCTTTAAAGACTCAAGAACATAGAGTTATGATCCTGAGCCATTAATATTACATGAGTTTCTGATGTACAAAATGGAAGCATGCACCAGAGGTCTTCTCTTTGTGCGTCTTTACTTACCAGACACTTAATTTGTTAATGGTTGGTAGGGAGATTTAATTGTCGGAAAGGAGTTTTATGGGCCTGCTGATATTATTAAGCTGATAGAATGTGCTTTCTTAATCATGAGGACATGGTCATTTCTCCTCCATCCAGGAATGCCAAGATGTTAGTGGTTATGATTATACTCCATTGAAGTGTACAGGGAGCCTGTCATATTCCAAAAAGCATAGTCTAAATAAAGCATTGCATACTAGATTTCCTGGTAGGGGATGGAGGATAAGAAGTTTCACCCTGGGGGCTAAAGAGCACTTGCCACTCTAGCAGAGGACCCAAATGCAGTTCCCAGAATCCACGTTGGGCACCAAGCAACCACCTGTCACTCCAGCTCCAGGAAATCCAATGCACTCTTCTGACCTTCCCGGACACTGTACTCATGTGCAAAAACCCATACAGGTACACATCCATGCATGTAAATAAAAACATCAAAACTTTGAGGAATCTTTGCTTTAGGGGAGCATAGTCCATTTCTTTTGTTCTAGTGTTGAACACTGCAGCTAGAGCTTCATGAGTACCAGGCAAGGGCCCCACCACCGAGCCACCTCACAGCCCTTTCGTTTTATTTTTTATCACTTTTTGTTTGGGGATAGGGTCTTTATAAGTGGCATAAGCTGGCCTTGAACTTATTCTTTAGACCAGACAGGAACTTGTGATCCTCCTGCCTCAGCCTCTGGGACAGCTAAGATGACAGGCCTGTACCACCGCACTCAGCCTACATTCTTGTCCCCGTATGACCTAAGGAGCTATTTGCTAACGTGTCCTGTTGCTTCTCGCCCTTAATTGTCTACAGCTGAGATTTCAGGTGAGAGTGGCAGGTGACCTCAAAGAAAACAAAGGCCCCATGTAAAGGCTGTAGTTAGGGATGGTTAGAAAACACATCCTGCCCAAGGAGGCACCTGCCTCCAGCCCCATGTGTTACTATACGGAGAACCAAAATGGCTGGCCACCAGCCTTTTGAAAAGTCTTCTTTTCATGTGTGTGTGTGTGTGTATATATATATCTGTGTGAGTTTATGTCACAAGTATGCAGGTGCCCATGAAGCTCAGAAAGGAGTATCAGTTCCCTTAGATCTGGAATTACAGTTGGTTGTGAGCTGCCCCAACCGGATGCTAGGAACGAAATATAGTCCCACTGGAAGAACAACAAGCTTTCTTAACCATGGTGCCTTCTGAAACAGGATCTAGTGGAGACCTGATCTTGAACTTGCTGTGTAGTTAAGGAGGACCTTAAATTCTTATCTTCCTACCTCCACCTTCAGAGAGCTGAGTTTATGTGATACTGAAGATAGAACCCAGGGCTTCGTGTATGCCGGGCGCATGTCACATGAGTTGAGTTATATTCCCAGCTCTGTATTCCTAGATCAGAACTTTTATGAAGTCTTCTGACTTCAAATGTCCAGGACTGCATTGTCTTGTCAGAGTTTCTATTGCTGTGAAGTTGCCATGACCATGGCAACTCTTATAAAGGTAAACATTTAATTGGGTGGATTACAGTTCAGAGGCTTAGTTTATTATTATCTTCATGATGGGACATGTGCAGGCAGATATGGTGCTGGAGAGGTACCTGAGAATCCTACATCTTGCAGGTAACAGGAAGTAGTCTGATGGCACACTGATCAAAACTTGAGCAAAAGAGACCTTGAAGTTCACCCTCACAATGGCATACTTCCTCCAACAA